AAAAAAAAAAAAAAAAGAAAAGAAAAAAGGGGGTGGACAAGCATAAAAACCACGTATTCCTTGAATACGTTTTTTAAAAAAAAAAAAATTATTTAAAAAAACGTATTCCTTGAATACGTTTTCATTTAAATGTTTTAATTAAAAAAAAATCGTAAACAATTTTCGAAATAATTTTCGTTAAATAAAAAAAAATAAATAAAAAACGTATTTGAGTAATACGTATTCACAAAACGTATTTACTAAATGCGTCTTAAAAAAATTTATTTTTTTTTTTAAAAATACATTTAAGCAAAACGTATTTAAGGAATACGTTTTACATTTAAATGCACAGAAAACGTATTCCTTAAATACGTTTTATGTAAAATATATTAAAAAAAATCTTCTTCTCCATTCATTACGCGAGCATCACAACAGAGAGGAGCAACTACTGAGAGCATAGTTTCAAAGAGAAGAGCGAAAATACTTGAGAAAAAAAAACTCGATCCAATCTTCACTCTAACGTGAACCGACAACAGCGACACGAGCCTTATTTCCGGTTAATTCATTCGCACGAGGTATATTGGTTTATCTTAACTTTTTATATTTGTTTGGAGTTATTTGGATATTGATAATTGTTATAATATGTTTGAATGTGTTGGTGTTTGAAACTTGAAATTGCCGATTGATTAATGATTATGTGTGTATGTTGAATTGGAGATTGAAATATTATGTGTTAATTGTCAATTGTGTAATTGTTTGGTTGTTGTTGTGGTTAGGGTTTTTTGAAATTAGGGTTTCAATTTATCGAAATTATAGATGATTTATATGTTATTGTTCGATAAGGGGATTATTTGATTGAGAATGATTTTTTTTTTTTTTATGATTTTTTTGGTTGAAAGTGAATTATATGTTATTGATGGATTATGAGTATTAGGGTTTGATAAAAGAATTCGTGATTTTATTTTTAACAGGTATAAATGGCGTCTGCCGGACTACCATACTTTGTTAATGTGTATTGGAATTATCCCAAAGAGGTTTTAGATTCATTTTCAGATTTTATAAACCGTCCGGATGGTTCATTTTGCATTGGGGAGAAGATATCATTTCAACAATTTGTAGATATACTTTATGAAAATTTTGGTTTCCGTCGAAATGGTTTGACAATTGAGGGGATTAGTTTACTGACAAACCGACCCGATGGTTCGTGGAATATCGGAAACATGAATATTGATAGTGCCTTTGAGTGGATATATTATTTTCCTGCTTTCTCCTATGTGTATTTGCATTTAGAGTTGAAGAAGGTTACGCAGGCACCTACAGTGATTACACAGTTTGAGGATGTTCCCCCTTTTACGGGGGAGTGCCTGATTTTGAAGGTACGTCCACTTCGCATGTTCGTAATTTTGGCGAAGGGTCAAGCTCAACAGCCAGAGAAGAACCCGATGATGATTTCATTCCTGATGAAGACGATTTCACAGATGATACATCGGAAACAGAATCAGATAGATCAATAAGCGAGGAGAGTGAACCAGAGTTTATTGAAGAGCACTCATTTCCTAGTACCGGTCAACACGTGTGTCGCGAGATGGGTGAGTGGGACCCGTCGTGTGTAGACCGAGATGAGCATGCTCTCCCTCGTTGGAATGGAAATGTCGATTCTATCCGTTTGGGTACTATTTTCTGGTCCAAGGAAGAAGCACAAATTGCTATAATGAATTGGAACGTGAGTAGATTGAGGGAGGTTAGGTCAAAATATTTGAATAAGAAATCATTCAAGATGGTGTGCAAATCCGAAGAAGCTCAGCCTTGTCCGTGGAAGGCTCGGGTGACGCACTGCACACGGGTTCATGAACTGTGGGAAGTAACGAAATGGACCGAGAGGCATAGTTGTATGAAAGAAGTCGACAAAAATGACCACAGAAATGTGACCGCCACAATGATTTCCAATCTTATCATGACCAAGATTCAAAAGAAACCGGAGTACAGTGTTACCCTGATCCAGGAGGATATAAAAAAATGTTGGAAAGTCGATGTGAGCTACAAGAAGGCGTGGCACGGGAGGAAAAAAGCCATCGACAGTTTGTATGACACTTGGGAAGAGAACTTCGCACAACTCCCTCAGTAAGAAAAATTTTATTAAAAATGCACGTATTATTTATTTTATCTCACTATGTTTATGTATTGACGATTACGTTTTATAACGTGTAGGTTTTTTGCGGCGCTTCAAATAGCGAATCCCACTACAGTTGTACAGTGGGAATGGCAGGGTGGGGATATGGCGGCCCACTATGAGCACAGAGAATTCAAATTTATTTTTTGGGCTTTTGGTCCCGCCATTCAGACCTTCCAGAGATGCCCACCGGTAATTAGCATGGACGGCACGCATTTGCGTGGCTCGTACAAGGGGAAGTTGCTTGTGGCTGTTGCACAAACTGCAAATAAGCGGTTATTGCCAATCGCGTACGCGATTGTGGATGAAGAGAGAAGGGAAAGCTGGTCATTTTTCCTGACCAATCTACGGCAATATGTTGTCGGCGACAGACAAATATGCTTTATTTCGGACAGGGATGGTGGCTTACAGAGTGCCGTGGATTCATTGGCAGCTTGGTAAGAACCCGCTGCATATCACCGCATCTGTCTTCGACACCTTCGGAGCAACTTTGTTACTAGGTACAGGAATAGCAAAATCCGAAATTGGTGTTGGGAGTTGGGTTCACAGCTTTCAGAGCGAAAATTTCAACAGATACGAGAGCGGCTTTCGGATTTTAATCCGGATGCATACAATTACCTGTTCGGAATTCCTCTTAACAAGTGGACCCTGCTTGGAGACGAGGGAGGACGTAGATGGGGTACATTGACGACCAATATGTCCGAGAGTTACAACAACGTCCTGAAAGGTGTTAGGTTCTTGCCCTGCCGAGCTTTGGTACGCGCCACATACATGAAAACTCTGGACTTGTTTGAGCAGGAACAAAAGAAGTCCACGAGATGTAGTAATGCCATTGCTAGTGCCCACTATGCGGCTTTTTGCGAATTGGAGAGTACGGCCGCAAATCATAGGGTGAGATGTGCGAACGTGGCGAGATCTCTATACGAGGTGACAACGGGTCTACGGCCGAGTGGTAGAGGGGACAAAATGTATGTGGTTTAATTATTTATTGTATAATTTAAATTTTTTTAATTTTGTTCATTAAAATTTTTAGTTATTTATAAATATAATTCAATGTGTGGAAAAACAGGTGTAAGATTTGGTTCGACGAGAGGCGTTGTCGTTGTCTGAAGTGGCAGACACATAAGAAACCATGCTCTCATGCTATAGCTGTGTGTCGGCAACTTAATACTCCACCGAAGTTATTGTACGATCCCCATTTTTGGACGGAGACCTGGGTAGCTCAGTTTTCTAATAGGACTTTTGCTCTGGTTGGTGATCCGGACACATGGCCGCTGGTCGGATGGACCTTACTACCACATTGGGAGAGGATGATCACGAAGGTTGGACCCGGTCGCGCGCAAACGAGGCGCCATCGCATGCAAATGGATCGTCGGGCACGCCGCCGGAGTGATAGAGGACAGTGCAGTAGATGTGGTGATACAGAGCATTTTGTGGATGACTGTCCGTCCTCAGATCCTCGCACTGA